ACGCTAATGTTGAACATGGAGCTGGTAAACCACAGATCTTTGCGCACAGTCTCCTACCTTTCCATACGGGCAGATCACGCAGTTATCCATGATGCAATTCCGGTCGTAGAGACGATTTCTGACCAATTGGTGTTTAATGGTTGTCTCTTGGTGTACTAACCAAGAAAACATCATTGGCCAGGTCGGCTCTTCTCAAGCATTCTTATATCCGAACAGCATCACTATTTTCTGCATCTCTTACTCATAATGATTATGGTGTATATCTATGAGATTCTTTGTTGGCGTTCGATGTTGTTTCAAATCATCGATCGACGGCGCAGCAGCAGCAGAATGCTGACCTTTTCCATGCTTGCCATCTACCACTCTTAGATTGCAGAGGGTTTATCTGATTTTTTTGAATTGTTTTTATCTTTCACCCATTTCTTACTGGATTACACCTCGTTGTCTCTCGTATGTCAGATTTAAGGTTTTTTTTTCTTCAGAAAAAGCGATTCCTTGGTGGTGGTCCAGCGTGTGTCTCTTGCCATATCGAGCTTAATGCTTGAGCGTGATAGGAATTATTCTGCTCCATCTAGCAGTTCTGCAAGTAGCAATAATGAAGGGAATGAGGTATTACGTTTTAGATCTTTGCTGCTTCCTTTCCACATCCCTTGTTGTTCCAGCAGGAGTCTTTGTCTATCAGCGAACCAGGTCCAAGTGCGACAGTAGAGCCCAAGTCAGCAATTGACGTCGCTCTTGAGCTGATTGCCCAGGAAGAGCTTGAAGCTATAAACGCGGCCAGAATGTAAGTCTTTCTATGCTCTTTGGCTGCTTTTGAGCTCGAAATAACGTGAAGCTTTACTCACCTTCCATTTTCGACGGATATTTGCCTCTGAATATTTCTCGTTTTGGAAACGTTGCTATCATATTCATGGTTTTTCTTTCTGTTCTCTGTATTTGTTATTGTCTTGTGGTAATCTCCTCATTATTCTTTTTGAAACTTCTGCTATCTTCAGCTTGGAGATTTTGAGAAAGCTCATCAAAATTTTCTTTTACGGTCTTTTGGTCAAATCGAATTTCTATTTTTTCCCTTCTTTATATAGCTCGCATTTAAGTTATTTTTGTATATATTTTTAAGTGTATTTTTTTGAAAGCTCAGGTTTTCGTCTGCATAAGATAGACTCCATGAGTATATTCAAAAAATCCTACTTGAAGCCCTTACGTGAAATTACACCTATTGGTAATGGTCCTGTGGCATGATCCTCCGTTTTAATCCCTACCATTTCTTTGTTCGTCGTGGCAAGCTCTGCTCCTGCAAACGACCGATTTCTGAGCTGTGCCAATTTTTTCCCGACGATGCACTCAATAAAATAATGCGCACATGGGTAACTGAGGGCAATGTGCCGAAAATACGAGGCGCGACCCTGTCCGAGACAAAGCCATTGAATTCGTCAGCTTTCTGCTTTGGTTGGCCCTCTTTCGCCTTAACATTGACGCGACGCGATTGCACTGAGAGAGCGCGTAGTCGCTGTTTAGGAGGAGGGTGCAAATAAGAACAAAAAATTGACATATTAAGTAGACTGGAGACCGTCTTCTATTTATTCTGCTTGCCAAGACGTGTCCCTGATGTGGTCGAGTTGGGGCTGCATTTCCGAATCGCTATGCTAACAGCACATAACTTCGTGGACGCCTGCCCCAACCAAACAACATTCGGGGATGCATCTTTCAAGCAAAACTAGTAGCACACGGTCCAGTGGTGTTTTTCAATCCCATTTACCGGACGTAGTCTTTTGTTTCGGCTCTGTCTGCTACATTTTGTTAAGCGAGCAAGTTCTGAGTTATAGTGGACATGGTATGATTGCAAATTTATGCCACCATAGCCAAGTGGCCGCTCACGCTTCTTCACTCCTGAATGGCCTCCCACGTTGGCCCTCGTCTCCCCACCACGGCGCTGCTTATTGTAAGCTGAATGAACGTCTGCCCCAACATCTGGTGTTTACATTTTACGGCGTACAGAGAATCGTAGAGGCAGTTTGGTCCACTTCTACGAGTCTGAAGTGAATGTCGATCTGAAGTAGTTTTGGAGGGGAGAGCGGCGTGAAAAATTTAATTGTTCGTGGTGGCGTCTAAGGAGTGGTCGAGTTGCGGGCCGTCTAAATACGTCTTGTCTAAGTTTTCGAAAGTAAGTATTACATGGTCAAAACTGAAAGTTTGCCTGCTCAGGCATAGACCACATCTACCTCTCTCCTCACAATCACCTCTCCGGCTCGATCGCAGCTTCGAAGGATAAAAAGGAGCTTGGCAGTGTTGTGTCGTATAGTCACAAAAATCCTATTGGTTAGTGTGGTGGTCAATGATGGAGATAGGGATCCGGTCGAACCCTCACTAAAAGGGAAGGTCGTCAATATCGGCAATTGGAATGAACGAACGTTGACCTCTCTTCGAAAATCTAAAAGTGCGCTTTTGCTCCGAAAAATCCCTTTGTATGGATCGGAAATATCCTAACAAGTTGTAAGCGAGCGCAAGTAATTCCCCACTTTGGCTGAAATTTGAAGTGATACTACAGAATCATTGGATATAATCTCAGCTATGACTAATCTATCAACTATTTGTTCAATTATTGTGTTTTGTTTATTTATTATTAAGATTTATCTGCCCTTCATTAAGTTTCAGAGCTTCTTCCCAATGTTATAATTTGTTTCGTTCACATTCACTCGTTTAGTGCTGCCTTGAACAAACCAAAGCCTCGTGGCCGCCCTCCACTCTCTCGGAAAGCTGCTGAGTGAGTTATTCACTCATACAACATAGTACCTTTCTCATTATACGGTATTTATCAAAAGGAACCATTCTTCATAACGTGGTTGAATAAATTTAGCTGTTGAAGTTCCATTTCTACAAAACTATTTAATGTAAGCTCTCTAATAGTTTGCGCCCTTGCAATCGCAAGCAATGGAGGTCCTATTTGAAATTTCTGATTACGGGAGGGGGTCATATCTTAGGTTTTCCTGCACTAGAATTGTGGAAAGGGGATCGTATCTGAGGTACTTAGAGGGATCTTGGTGAAGGATTGAGGGCTAGTGTTGTGGTAAAGAGGAAGAGAGGCCGTTTTGACGTTGTTTACTCGCAAGTTTTCAGGTAAATGCTTAGAGTGGACCACAGTAGTGCAGTTACCATTTTTTTAGTTCTCGTACCGCCGTTTGACGGGAGTTTTGAAAGGGTAACTGGGGAAAACTACTATTTATTCATTTTGTTTTTGTTTGCTATTTGTTTACCTTTTTTGCCTACTGCGTCCATTCAAGGAACCCCGCCTCTACAAATGCAAAAACGGACTCAGATATGCGACCGTCCGTTAAACGAAAAGAAACGCAACGTTCTCAGGTAAGCTTTTGAAGTTTTTATGGCGGCCTTCAGTGTTACCAGGCTCTTTTTTGTCATAATGTTCGAGGTATGAGTAGCGCTCATCCGCCTCCAGACTCCCTCCGACTTTGAAAAATAGTGCTATGAATAATCTTCATTACTGGTGCAAGTGTGGCAATAGTTTTGTCGCCACAGCAATACTCTGTCTGCGTAAAAATTGAAGTGCTTGACATGAGTGGTCGCAGAACAAAGCTGCTAATCGCTTCAGATGGATTTCAGATACAGATTGAGAACGTGGCGTTCTGCCTCTGCAGAGAAGGGAACAGAGAAACGCGTCTGAGAAATTTAGCAGTTACTACGACTTCCCCTGCTCACCCTCCCCCTTTTTTCGGTTCCACGGTCACTGTTGCTCCAAAATCCTTCCTCAAACCATGCACGATTTTTCAAAAAAGAGCTGCTAAAAAGTACTTCCGATTCTACCTTGTACGACGCATCCCTACTAATTAGAGACTATGGGATCAGAGATTTTGAAAAAGTGCTGAAACGTTCCTGAAAGCTAAAAGATTCTTCTTTAAAGAAATAGTCTCGTTGCTTGGTTTTTTCCCCTACGATTTTTTGACCCGATTTTCATACTTTAAACGTCCATAATTTCCTTCAAGAGTGTTATCATGAGAAGCGGTAAAAACAATCAGAATCTGCACTATCAAAGCTTTATAACAAGTGCTGAAGTCTCCTGAAAGGCATTTAATCGAAAAGCTTTCTTTCGGAAATTTTCTTTTCGGACTCTAGAAGTCAATCTGCAAGATTTGCTGCGCTTTCCTCCACTTCAATTTGATCTGAAAGCATCGGAATTTATTCGAAAAAATCCGTTTGCTCGTGCCCACTGGAATATAATGTGTGTTTACTAGTAAGACCTCCTTACCTGGGATGTGCCATGTGCTATCTGAATATCTGAATCTCTGGCTACTTCTGGCCGGTCATTTGCCGTATGCCTGACCTTTAGATTTTGGACTGTCTTTGGCTTCGGCCCCCTTCTGCTGGCAAATCGGCCCACCCCTTGTATAATCTTTACACAATGCGTCACGATTGACCTGGATGGCTTCTCGAATCGGTGCGGCTTCGCTACCCTTATGCGGAATTGCCTTGGAGTTCGCTGTCGGATCTGTGTGTTATCGGCATCTTTGTGAACAAGCGCCGTGTTTTCGAATATTTGATGCCTTTTCCTCTTCACAATTACCATAATTTTGAAAATTCAGCTAGCAACTCCTTTGGTTTTATAGAATGAACGACTCGCACCTTTCTGCCTTGATGAAAATCGGCGCTGAACGTTCCTACAACGTCAGTCGTTCCTATCCTGAAAGACCATCTTGAAGTTGAAGCTGCTGCACTGAACTGAGCCACAATCCATGGAAGTTTCCTTATTTGGAGCAGACAATGGCGAACCTGAGTCAACTGATTTCCATAAAATGGTCTTACTCAACTACGGGAGTGTAGACGGCCGTCTCGAAGACGACGAAGATGATGAAGAAGAAGAGGAAGAGAAGGGTCACAATTCCAGCATGCAGTGGAGTAGCTCCAAAGAGTCGGCACCGCCTTTTGAAAGAATCTTCACCTAAGAAGGAATCTCCAGAAAGCGAAGAAAATGTCCCCGAAGTAGTCTGATCATACGAGGGAGGGGTGGACTGCTCAGCTTCTGTTTCTATTCGTAGGCAATTATCACCTTCAAATGGCGGCTGCTCTACTGCCAAGGACGAGAAGCCTGAACCAACTAGTATGGAAACAGATGAAATGATTGAGCCTGCTGTTCCTTCCAAATCCACCAAGCGTGGCACGTACGAGAAGTTAGTTTGATATTATACGGCTGCAGGGTAGTGTTTATTTGCAAATTTTTTAGAAAAGCTAGAGGAAGGCCAAGAAAAAGCAGAGACGTCTCATCTCCTCCGAAGACGCGGTTAGTTCAGTTTCACAAATTTCCCACGGTATTCAGAGAATTACAGTTTCTTTAGCAGACCGCGCGGACGTCCACGAAAGGATGGAGGTGAATCAAGAAAGAAGGGTGAACGTAAATCTACAGAAAGGTAGTGTTACTATAATATGCTTTGAAATGCTTTTTGTTCGGGGCATTAGTCATCGTTACTTTTGGTTCCGAGACTTCACACAAGGATGTAGAGTTGTGATGAAATATGGGCGTTCGGCCGCTGTAGATCCTGCTTGTCTTTTCTGGGCGGGTTTTACTTACAGGAAAAAGCTCTGTTCTTGTACAAAAGGTAGCCACTAGGTTCATTACGATCATCTAAGGTTATTGAGTAGGCTATTGACAGTGCGAGGCTTGTGTCAGAGTCCGAGATCCGTCGCAGGTTTCGCGCGATTCACAAGATTCGATGACTGTAGTAATTTGCATTTGATTATATCACGGCGTCGAAGCAGTTGTTAGACTTTGCGATACTCGTTTGATTCGTGGGAATCGCACGATGGGCGCAAGAAACATGGGCCTAAGCCTGTGCAAGAGACTAATTATGTTGGTTATACATAATAAGTTAGCTAAATTAGGGTAAGCGAAGCCACTGAAGCTAAAGGAAGGCATCGCGAGAGTATTGCTGGCGTGACATCAGACGGAAGATATAGATAGGGTTTGCCAAGGTGCCTTAGGGGATAACCAAGCATCGTTGTTGTTCGAGAAAGTCTCACTTGATTCGGACTAAAACATCATTCTTCAGAAAGCTACATGAACGTCTGCAAAAACGACGACCGCGTCGAGCTGCGGCTATGATACAAGATTTCCTTGAGCTATACGCTAAAGTGGATTTGGCCGATCTTGAAATAATCCATGCCAGGGTTCGTTATAGTGCCGTGCAACCGTTGATATATTATATTCAAAACTTGGTTGCTGCCGATGTGAAATATGCAAATTAAAATAGGTTTTTTAGGCCACGACATTTGTGAGAATGCTAGTCGATGAGTACATCGAAGAGTCCAAAGCGAGCACAGCTAAGTCTTCTTCCCGCAGCAATTCTCAAAGTTCGCGTGATCTAAAAGGTCTGTTACGTCTTATGTTATTCGGAGTTATTTAATTCCTTTATCGCGATACCTGCATTACTACCAATGTGAATATTTACTGATCGCACACTTTTGTTCATCATAATGACCCGTGTTTTTTTTCACGGTTTGCTTGTTTTTATCGCTTGATCCCACTTTAGGCCACGGTCGAATACTTTCGAATTATTTGCCCTCGATTTCTGGATTATTTGGACGTATTGAAAAGATGGATATCGATCGTGCACAAAATCGCCACACGACACGATAGTCACCTACGTTCACAGTCGAATCATGTCATAGGCACAAGGTCGCATTGATGTGTAACGCGGCCTCAAATGACCTTGCCGTTTTCCCGTATAATCAGAACGGAATGCAACGATAATTTGAGGCGCTGAGTGTTATGGCAGATATCAGGTTAGGTGGCATGTGTCATTTTATCGTCTTGAAAGTATACTCAGTTTTCAAGCTTGAAATATGTGTTTCGGCAAAAGCGTGCCTGGTAATAATTTTTGGATTCCCGAAGATTTACTGGAGATTGCAGAAAACTTTATCACATGTAGGTGACAGGGTCGGATGCGGATGGAAAGGAAAAGCAGGGAAGAAAAACGAAGGTATGAGGATAACAGGTGACTCACAGCTATTCTTACCAGGACGTGGTGATCATCACGGTGAGGTTTCCCTCTAGATTCATTTTTTATGTTTGATTTTTTCTTTTATTGTTTTCACGGTCATACTCCTGTCAATAATTACAGATTATCACTATCGTAATGGGTGCTCTGAGCTTTCCGAGAAGATAGAAGAAATAAAGCACGTTTCGGAACCATGAAAAAAAATTTTCCAAAATCGACCGAACAAGATTTGATTAGATGTGGAGAATTAGGATTAGAATTGACTGTTTAGCATTTCGACATGCGACGCCATGCTGTATACCTCGCGTTAAACAGTTTGCCGACAGCATGACGCGCATGGGCCGCCGCCACAAAATGTATTGCTCGATTCATAGGCTTGTATTTTTCGATTTAATTGGCCAGTGTTCTTGAGTGGCAATCTGTAGTGACGTGATGATCTTATCCAGAAAACTGTGCATCAATTAACCAGTAGTGGAATCATTGAAGAAGTTCTGACGATTGGGAAAAAAAATAAAGAAAAAGGTACTGGGGTACACGCACAGGGGGCTGTCGTGAAATGTTAATCTTTCAAAGTATACTTCAGCAAGCATGGATGCTGGATCGAGTGCAATGGATGACATGGCGAGCGCTGAGGAACCTGAGAGCTCAGCGGAAGAAGTCAGCGCCGAGTGTGGTTACGAGAGCAGTTGTGGGTTCTTGAAACTATTCGATTTATTATGAAAAAGTTTTTGATCAAGTAAGTTTCAGCTGATCCCAGCGGAGATTTTGGAGAGGAAACTAATATCAATGAGCTACCGCTTGGCCGAACAACTACCCTGTCGGATAGTTTTATCGATTCTATTCCTGTAATAAGAGGAACTGTCTTGCAACAACTTCCAACTGTGATTGATTCGGTTTGATGTTGCCTTCTATGCGCTAACTTCTGTATTCAAAAATGAGCGCTCATGTCCCTAGGGGTACATACAAAACAGGGCTGGTAGTAGGTGACACTAGGAGTAGGAGAAGGGAGAAATGACAGGAAGAAAACGCATCGCTCACATTCTTCTCCAAAACCTCCTCCCCTCCCTAAGGCTTACTCCATACACAGTAATTGGCTCACCCATTTGAGTGTCACTCCCCCCCCCCCCACCAGCGACATGAGCGCCCAAAAATGGAGTAGTTTTAGGTTCCGCTTCTACCTCCAAAGTAAAACTTGTTTTGTGATTGCTTTGATTTTCATTTTTCCTCCATTGTTCCTCAACTTAAGTCGCGTAAGTTTGGCAAAGCTGTTGTGAGTGCCAGCCGATGTCTTACGTGGTAGTGATGGGTTCATGAGGTGAATACGGTGGTTTTCGGGATGTTCATTAATTTAAAACATGTTTTTTAAGTTTTCGAATAGCAGAGCTTCCGGTGAGTTCATCTTGTCAACGAAATGTGGCCATTCTGCTATAAGTAAGCGGTTTCGAGTAGGATGGGAAGCGCTGGCTTCAACATCGGCTTTCCTCGCGGGTCGTCTTATAAGTCCAGGAAAGGTAAAGTAATTGGTTGATTCTGGAGCGATGCTGAATTCCTGTACATTTTGGATACATTGTTGCATCAAATATTTCATTGCGCAACATTTTTTTTCTCTTCAAAAGGCTGCGCAAGATGAATCACATGAGAGCCTGCTGCTGTTTACTCAGCATCACTACTCAAACACCCTTCACTACCGGAATGCCTTCTTATAGGTATTCGCTATGGACTATAGGGTGTTGCCATTACGAGTTCAAAAAGTGCGAATGCTCACGACTCATACTGCATCATGATATTGAAGTGTTTTCTGGCTTAAGTTTTTACACGTGCACAGGGGTCTCGTTTCCATAGCACAAATACTGTTGGTGTTTATGGAAAGATCAACAAATGCTTATTTCTTGAAAGTGGGGCGTATGATCGAGAGCGTCGGAAGTTATGCGCAGTAAATTATACCGATAACCAGCGGCCTGCCTACTTGTTCATACCATCCTTCCTTGCCGTTTGAAACTTGAGAAACAGGTATTTCAAGATCAGTTTATGCACGGACGTTTTAGTAGTGACATAACTTCACGAGGCATATTTCTGTTATTTGTTAGCCATCATGTACAAAATCTGTCTTTTTGTCTATTTTTAAAGCTTAGAAGACGCCAATCTTCCTTCATCAACAATTTTGCTCGCCCATACGTTTCTTTGTATCTTTACTTGTGCATGTGCATTTGTAATCGGTGAATAGATTGGTTTTCAATTTGAGAAATGCATTAGATTTGTTCTTGTATCGAATTTTCTATGAGCCCTTATTGTGCTTCCAAAGTGTTTACTTTTATTCCGGCATTCTACACAGAGAAGTTATGTGTTTAGTTGTAATTACGTTCAGTTTTATATGTCATTGTCCGTTCTATCTTTGTTAATCCCATGCTCTATCTCATGCTATACATAGAATTGTTAGGCTTTTGCGAAATAAATGGCATATTTCCATGGTGATATTTTACAGTGTACTTATTTGTCGCAGGTTTGAATGACTGCTCGTTATCTCGAGCTAGGATAAAAATGTAGTAATTGTAAGCTGACAGCTGATATTTTCACAAAGGCCTGTAACGTACTCCTTAGAAGATTGCCAGTGTAAACATCAATGATAAGGGATGCGTGTGAGGTGAACATCAGCCGATAATTATAGGAAGGACAAATTGAGTCTTTTGTGAGGTAGGAAATACCATATCTCTAAGTACCTGTTTCTATCTCTGGATAATAACTACTGAAGAACTTGATGTGTCATTGATAATTATGGCATTATTTTAAGCTAAAATAAGAGCAAGTAAGGATTTATCCACGAATTGGCGATGGAGTTCATCCTGGCTAATTCCTAGCAATTGCACTGCCTGTTCGACTCGCAGACTCGTCCACTGCCTCATGAAACAGATAGGGCCTTATTTCGGCGTTTTCGGTGGTTTTTCTCCTCTTTTCTTTGGTGGCGATCTTCAACGCACGTCTGTTTTCTATTCGATGGCTTCTTGTTGACTGTTCCTTCTTTAACTATGCCGTGTAGGGGGCGAGATTCACCAGCAGGGTGAATAACGGTCGAGGATTTCCTCGACCATAGCTCTCTACCATGCGAGAGTAGTGCCGAGAGTGAACATCCGCGCGGAGAGCACAGACGGCACGCCCATGGCGAGTGTGAATGTCCGCGCGAGAGATCGTGTCTGATCGGGCAGAGAATCCTCGACGTGCCGTTGAGGAATCCTCAAGCGATATTCACCCTGATTCTAGTATTGTCTTGAATAATATCATACGAATTAGTTTCGAGTGCAGTGGGTACCTTTATCCAACTGTTCTGAATTGTTGTCGATGAGATCACCAGTCAGGGGAAGAGGGCCCCCTTTATTGAAACATATGGTTATTTTAGCACTTAAAGGCGCGGAAGGTGCGAGTTTTTTCCCATCAGCCAATCATTTCTAGTTTTTTTCTTGAATAATATCAGAATGAAATTCGAGCCGCAATGGGTACCTTCTTAGCAACTGTTCTCAATTGTTATTCGATGAGAAGCCTTTTATCGACACTATCTACCTTGAGTTAAAAATATACCCTCCCTTTCAAAAGACGAGAAGAGCGTCGGGTGCAGACCATACGCCATAAGTGACGACGGCCTCCAAGTCAATCTGGTAGCAGTGGTTCATAGGGAAGTGTGCTAACTTAGTTGGTGGTGTTGCGGGGGGGGGGGGGCGGGGAAGGGGGGAGGACCCACGAGGGCATGCGCGGCGCTCGTCCGTCAGCCTCTCCATGGCTCAGTCATTGGTCGTTACTAATTCGCCACACCGTCGTAGTCTCGAAATACAGTAACATCACGGACTAAGCCTTGGAAAGGAGGACGGAGAGCGCCGCGCCGCCGCGTGATCCCTCTCAGCTAAGTTAGCACCCATAGTCATAGCTTGATTTTGGTAAATGATAGTTGTAATTAGTGACAACTGATAGAATACAACTGCAACAGGCTAATCATTTCATTGGCAGAAAACATTTACATTTTGTGGAGGCCGTCGTCACTTGTGGTGTATGGTCTGCACCCGACGCTCTTCTCGTTTTTTTTGAAGGGAGTATATTTGTACGAAAGGAAGCTCGAGAGGTAAACTATAAGCCGCAGCAGCAAGTTTTTCGTTGGATGCGATCGTTTTGATATGATTGAAACGTTTCCAATTGAAATTATTCCATAACGCACAAAAAGCTTGGTGAGGAATCTCGTCCCATTGGCAACATTGATTTAATAAGATTTCTCTCATAGCATACTGTTTTCTAACCGTTTTTGCAATATACACGGCAATGAGTGCACATTTCACTATTTTTGCTTGTCAATTTCGTTATGATACAACCAGAAGTAATGGGTAGTTTTTGCTCCTTCAGGTGGGCGGAGCTTTTGATATGAGCGAAGCATACGGGATTAAAGGCATGCCCCAGGATCAAATTGGTGTGGTTCTTGCACGAACGAATGTATTGGTGCGAAATGGGCCGGCAGTAAAGAAAAAAGGAAAAGAATCCGTCGAAAACGCTCAGGTTAAGGGCTCACTCACCTTCGTAATCGGCTGTGCTAAGGGAGAGACTAAGCGCGGAGGAGAGTATGAGGCGAGAGAGCGCAACAGATGAGAGGGCGCCAGACAACAGCCTGATAAAAAAATGCAGCTGCTGCAGCTTACTTTGCAAGGCCCTAGCGCTCTTGTCGGTGGTTTCCGTGCACGGGAATGCCACATCTGTGATTGTCTTCTAGGGGTCTATCCTACAGGCCGAAGGGAATCGTTCCATAACTTTTGCCTGGGTTGTGAGTTTAAATAAGATTTAAATTTAGATAGGACTCGTTTTTATAGCGAAAACTGCAAAAACTGCACCTGCGGATACTGCAAAGATCCCATCACTGTACGAAGAGGGCTTCAATGAAGGATTTGCTAACAAAATGAGCTGTGAGCAGATATGAAGCCTTCGAAACAGAGTCAACCCTGCGTTGCGCAGTTCTCAACGGCCACGTTGCGCAGTTTCGCCCGATTAGACACGTTCTCTCGCGCGAACATTCACACTCGCATGCTCGAGCCGTCTGTGTCTCCGCCCATACAGCGTGCGTTGAGGATCTCTCAACGTGCCGTTGCGAACTGCGCAACGCAGGGTTGACTCTGCTTCAAATGGCATGAACCCCTGTATTGCTTTAAAAAAGCTGTTTGACGCTGACGATGCATCTTTCGAGACTTACGCGCTCTGATTTCACTTCGAAATTAGATATATCGTAATGAGACATGTCCTTGCTGCAAATGCATTGTTCTTTTCTATGAAATAATTGTTTCCAACGTAACCATGGTATTCCAAGCTTTCGATAGCGACCTCAATCTGCATACACAATCTGTAGAAAGGCTTAAAGCGCCTAGGTGTTAAACAATTCCATGTTGAATGCACCATGCGTTCTAATTCCATTTAGAATCGTAGAATCATTTGAATGGATTAGGCCTACAGAATGGCTTACGCAGGCGTACGTCCGTGTTGCTGTCGTCACATACAATCCTGGCAGATATCAGTCCATCACGGGATTAAAACGTGGCCCTCCTTGAATTCTTCTCGTCCGTATGAAGACGGCAGAAAACATCAAAAACAGCTTCATGCAATAAGAATATGATATGATTGCAATTTTTATTTCTCTTATGGGACTTTTCGTGATTATTGTACAACTAGGCAGGAAGGTCTTTCAGGGGCGTGACAAGCTTTTATCTTGGAAAATCGGTCTTTATGCCAATGATAGGGGCAGATGCGGGGACCACAGAACCACGTTTAATTTTTCCTGAACGGCCCTCTGAAATACCAGAAAAGGGGGTCTCCCTAGTTCGATTCCTCTTGGTGACAAATTTTTGCATTTCGAGTTGACGTTCCAAAATTCGCGCAAAATGGAGTTCTTCTGTTCTGGTTGGTTCTAACTCCATTTTGCGCGAATTTTGGCACGTCAACTCGAAATGCAAAAATTTGTTACCACGAGGAATCGAACTAGGGACCTCCTTTTCTGGTATTCAGAGGGCCGTTCAGGAAAAATTGAACATGGTTCTGTGGTTCCCGCATCTGCCCCTATATCATGCAAAAGACCGTTTTCAAAAAGCTTGTCACGCCCTGAAAGACCTTCCTGGTAAGCAGTAGTACGGCGAGCTCTACGTATTAGGGTTATCCGACTGGACTCTGTTCTGCTCACTATGCTAACCGATACCATTTCTGTGCACTGCTAGACGCAAGTTGTTACGCTTTGAGCAATTTTGAAAATTAAAATTTGATAATTGAGGCCCTATATAAGGTTGGCCTTCCACCTGTGACTTTGAATCACAAACAGTCCGATCGCCTCACTGCTGTTCTGGTGGTCTCGACAACTGGACTGTATTACGGTAGGTGGCCCACCTTTGGATTGCGTGATGAGTTGTTTTGGTCTCGAACTTCAGTAGGGTTGCTGCTAGGGCATTTGATCGGGTAGTCATAAATTGATTCGACTCTTTCAGGCTCTGAAGAAGGCGATCCTCGCCGAAACGTAAGCCCAATAAAAGTTATTTGCCAACCTCGTGAGGAGCTTCAAAGAAAATAACAACAAAATTCAATAAAAAATTCCTTAGGACATTTCTAGGTGGAGGTTGTATAGCGGCGGGTTTTTCGTCCAAGTTCGAATACCAGATCAGATGTGGTTCAGCTCACTGCCGTTTCATCCCCGGGTCGGTTTTATTGATATCAGGCCACGTTCAGGAGGATAAAAACATTGGGAAGTACATCGCTTAGCCTTGGCTACTCAATGCATAGGTCAAATAGTGTTCAAATAGCGATATAAAATGCATGGAAAATGAATACATAGCGCATTACAAAAAGGATTTGTCGGTTATCCTTTGCTTTATTGTTAATTAGATTCTTTCATTTCAGACAAGGGTATCATCTAGTTGAGTACGTCATACGCAACATTTCCCCAATCAAAAAAAGCCCACTGAAGTGAGGCGCAAAAGAGGAGGGCAGGGCACGATTCCTGTCAAATCGAGCTTTCACCATCCTGGATTCAGCCATGAAAATGCAATCGTGCCAGAATCATAAGGAGAAGATAAAGATTTGAGAAAGAGCTCGGTTCGGCCCAGCTCATATGAGAATCGCCAATGTGCCCAAATCAGAGGGCACAAAGACGAACCATTTCTCGGGTCTGGATCGATTTAGTTAGTTTCTCTTCATCCCTTCATCACTGACCACCTCCACCTTGTTTTTTATAGGCTGTCATTTCATCGCAAACTCCGCCTTTGATTCGAGGTATGCAACGGCTTACGCGACCATTCGATGTTTGAATGATCGAACAGTGTTCTTCGCCCTTCGAACTTCGGCACCTCAGCGCGACCATGGAATGATAGAAAGCTTGGTTGGGCTGGGCAAAGTTCAACGTAGACCGTGAAATTGAAGAGCAGAGCTTGCACTGAATACGTCATCCTGCATTATTCTTGACCAGGACTTAAGAGGACTGGGTTGTTTTGAGTTGCAGCACGGTCCTTGCTATACGAAGTTATTACGTTCATTTTTATACAACGAATTCCTTCTTAAGGAGTCTTCAATTTCTTATGATTATTGACGTCCTTAAAGTGCTGTTGACGCTACTGTGCTCTACGTATGTGAATCTCTACGAATTAAAGTGTAACCTCAAACTCTTCCCGTGATTACACTCTAATTTGTAGATTTCGCTTGAGTACATCATCTGTTACTCGAATACCTGTGGAGTCAAATGGCACCTTGGTTGAGGTTACAGTTTTTTTTAATCCCTTCGATTATGAATCTCTTCCATTGAAGGTAAGTTTCACGGTGAAATGGCAACCCATTGGAAATGAACTTAGAGATCGCAAAAAAAAAACAGAGAGAAATGCTTTAGAACCCGAGAAATGGGACCCTTCCTTGCCCGTTGATTCGACTGATTGATGCGACTCTCATCGGTGCTGCCCTCTTCAACGCTAATACTCTCTCTGCTAAACGGCTAGAGGCCCAGACGGCGAGAAGGTGGGTGTGCCGAGATTGATGGCGATGGTGTGGGGTCATGTCGATATCCCCCTCAGGGTCTAGCAGTCACGGAAAATTTTGAAATAGCCACAACGGACCCTCGACCTTGCTTGCCTCCAGGGGACATCACGATTTCGAATTCTTCCAGTGTCGCGGGTAACCTTAGGCTGGACCCCTTGTGTATTACGATAGAATAGCACGAGGTTGATTCGTTTCTACAGGGCGGAAGTGGTGTAGTGGCAAGTGGCGCGCTTACCACGCGAGCGGTCCGGGGATCAAATCCTGGGTCGTGAGTCGCCCGGGCCAACCAAGCCTTCCATCCCTCCGGGGTCGGTTAATTGGTACCAGACTTGTCTGGGAGGATAAAAACACTGACTTGTACATCGGCTGGCCCCCGCAAGTCATTGTATAGGCCACATCGCATTCAAACGCCACTACGAATGTACAAATGGAAGTAGAATGCGTGCCGCATCCCAAAAAGGGATTGATCAACGGCAAATGCTTTATCCTTTTATATATAGACTCTACGATTCCCAACAAGTGCTGAGTACTTGGCGCATATCTGAGCGACTGATCAACGCCGACCACTTTCCTATTCAACCATTGTGATACGCGAACAGCGTATGAATGAATGCCGTTGTGCGCTGCGGGCTGCGAGGAGAAGCAGATGGATGGAATATTTATTTGACGACGAGAATGTAAATGAGTATGTGTGTGTGTGGTGTGTGTGGAAGTATACGTACGTGCATCTGATGTCAGTTAGTGCATCGCCTTTGTGCTTAAAGGAATCTTCCACGGAAAAAGCTCCGCCCTCATTACCACAGAAAACGATACCTTAAAGGAATCTTCCACGGAAAGAGTGATCATTTTGTCTTGTGTGTAGGATTAGTATTATCGAAACTAACGCTTATGTTCCGTTCTTTTTGCTATGCTCATGAGGCTAGGGGCCTAAGGGGTATCGTTTTTCTGTGGTAATGGAGGCGGAGCTTTTTCCGCGGAAGATTCCTTTAATAAATGGCAATATTGCTCCGAGTAAAACTCTTCAAAATTATCGGATTATTCAATCATCATCATCATCTCAAAGGGACTTCATATACATATACAAGTGCACACGTTGTATGTTACTCTGTTTCGATACGAGGATTAATATACGAATAAATGTGTGTATGTGTTGATGATAGAAATATGATTCTGTTCTTAGGTGCAATAAATTCGGTATAAATGTAGGCGAATAACCCCGTGCCGTAAAGCGCGACCAATAACGCTCTGAGATGAGCACGCGCAGATTGAGAGGCATGGATTTGGCTGGTGGAGAATATGCATCAGGGGGGTAGGGGTTACCGATATCTGAGGGTTGGCAACATGGTACCAGTTTAGGCTGCTGAGATCATCATTTCGCGATAGGGCGAATAAAACACAGAGAACATGAGAAGAATGAGGACGAGGACAGGAATAAGAGAAAAGGCTAAATCTCTCCTTGGGCCCGAGTAACCGAGAGGGGAACTACCGTCATCCGCCGTTACCCAACAGATGGGCCCAAACGCCGATGGCCAGTGGCTCGCTCTCAGATACTGCTGCTTCGCCCCAAGAGAGAGGATCGTCGTCGCGGAAGTCGGACGTCGAACGACGACGACGACGACGTCGGGCACAACGACGATTTTGACGAACACGAACGACACAATCGATAGACGAGTGGAGATGAGGCGCAGAAGAAGAGGAGGCTCCAAATCAAGAAATAAACCACATTTCAGTGCATAATTCAAATAAAAAAAACGTAACAACAAAAAACCACCATCATGAGACGACGAAAACCATATAATAAGTCATATAACCATATATAATGTATGCAATACTTCTTATTAAACTTTCAAAATATTCTATAACAATCATATAATGAAAATGGACGACAAGTAATAAAATACAAAAATAATACTCAGTTTATATGAAAAGGCGATGATAGCTCCCGAATATAAAGCGATGTGTGAGTCTGTGTGGTGTGTTTAGATGGATGGATATAGTAAATAGTAGTAAGTAAAGGGGAGAAGACGAAGATGACATAAGTAAGTGCGATGACGTCGACGTTGAATCGGTATAACACCCTGAAAAACAACAAAATAGTAAATTAAGCCGATTGCCTTTCAGCGCTGTCACTTTGAGGCAGCACAACAACGTCACAAAACACACTGAGGGTCTATTCCAGTTAGGGGGGGGGGTATCGATGTGCATTCTCAGCTAGCTAGTGTAAACTCGAACATTCAAAGTTTTCACGCATGTCAAATGACTTCGCTCACCCGCTCTGGTTGGACTTACCGTAGCTTTCTGACGAGGAAAAAACTGGCATCACCCTGATGCCCGCTAAACTGGAGTAGACCCACAGTGACTCTAGAGGGGTAGACTGGAAAGATGTTCTTCTCTCCGCTTTGGGCGAAAAATATCAGCGCTGGTGTAGTTTGGGTAAAGAGGTATGTGTGTGGGTAGGGGGGGGGGGCACTGTGATGCAATAGATCGTACTGGCTACAGTAATCCCATCCCCGTAATCCCGATTCCGCACATGGGGCTGAAGCTTCGGGGTGGATAAGCCTAGGACGTCGCTGAAGCGGGGATTCAGTGCATGTTCTAATCGCAGATGACCAGAGGCGGAGTGCAGCAAGCTCCGGTCGGAGATAGGTTCCCAAAACACCTACATATTACGGTCGATAAGGCAGTCCTCACTATCAAGATAGGGAGATCCATTCAGAAATGACGTTTTTAGGGACCAGTCAGGGCCGGGCCTTGCTGCACTTAGCCCCAGGGGAAGACTGAAAGACACCCCCAATTTCCTTGGGCCAAAAGGGGTCTGAGTATATCACGTGAACCTCTATAATGAAAGAAAGTGTTTTTCGTGGTTTCAAGTACGTTGAGCCCTCCGGTAAACCACATTGGAGCTGAATAAATTAGCCCAAATGATGTAGCGCAGCTAACACGCGCTCGAAATCCCGGTTAGAGCCAAGCGAGGATCTCAAGTTGACAGTTGAACCATTTGATCATGTAAAAACGGAGATTATATTAATCCAGCTTATAATGTTGGCTAGTCTTCACAACAGAAGCGAAGTACACATTTCAACGAGTTCGCAATTATGAATGAACATCGGATGCGTGGCGCATTCCGAATAAATCAATCAATATCGACTACACTGCCAGTTTTAATCATTACATCTACCTTAAAGTAGCAGCGATTTCCGCTATCCCATATATGTCCCCAAAGTAAGCGGCCACAAAGCTTCGAAAATCAAACGAATTCTAATTTGTATGCGCCGGTTGCAAATCTAATTACAGCTAATGGGCATTCGACCCCCGAGCGATTCCTAATACATTAGGAGCGTTAAATAATTTAGCGGACATTAGCACTGTCATCGTCCGACAAATTAATCGAGTAAGCCTTGAAAGGTAGTTTGATCGTTCAAAAACCCTGAAACCCCGTCCTAGTTTGCAAGCGTATTATTCAGGTTCTCGAGATTGCCCCCGCCCGATGAGACCGCGGAGGTAGTAGTCGATTGCGCGCGATGGCTAAGAAATGACAATACGCGTATCATCGGCGCGACGTCCAATTTCTCAAGCATCTCATTCTTAATACGACGTATTGTGCATTCGTAATTGGCCACCCCCATCACCGGCCACAGCCGGCCAACACACGGCCATGCTGCTGTCCAGCCAGCCGGGGCTGCTGCTACTGCCAATCTGAACAGCCTCGAACTCAATTATATTTCCGCGCGCTCACCAAGCATGTCACCCGTTCTGCCTCGAATGCTGTCCAGGTAAACAGCGCCACAAAGTGCACATTGGCCCCCAATGGACACGCTTTCAATGCGCGCGTGCGAATATAGGTAGGTACGAAGTGCCGCACTTACACCCCGACTACTAACACATATGTTTGCCTGGCCTGATGATGTTCAAATGTATGGAGCCCAGGAACCTTGCACAAAAGTTCATGAGAACCCTGCAACATGCAGCACGTCGTCCACATTCACACAAATGCACTTCGCTTAGCGTTGTGCTCTTCTCAGACCCTTCATGCGTGTGTGTGTGAGGATCGATTCAGCGAAAAGTACAGTAGCGCACATATCAGCAAAGCGCATCCCCCCTTGTGCTGATGCACTTTACGAGTCATCCTATCGTCGCCCCTCGACACTTGCAAACCCTGCCTTGTTGATTATACCGTGACAGGTGTTCATTTGAAATGTAGCCTTTTGCTAAAGGATAGGGAAAAACACCTAATAAGAAGTCATCTAAACTTATAGTTACACTGGTTGCTGCTTCCCGGTCTTCCTGAGGCAGTCAGACTCCCCAAAATACTCCACTCCGTTGACGAAATCAGCGATTCACGCGACAGCTTGGCCAATCTGCTAGGGTGTTCCCGCTGTCAAAGGACACGTCAATTTTCAGTTGTAGTGCAAGTGAACCTGCTCCGAATACATTGAGTTTTTCTGACGCGTACAGGCCAAACATTACATCACGACATCACCACCACAACCACCAACACGCACACACGGTGCAAGTGAACACAATACCTCAGATTTATAATAACACGAATCAGGGGAAATCAGATCAGGGAAATTTACAAAATATATATTAATGTGGACGATGATGATGATGATGATGATACA